TTTTTTTTTTTTTTTTTTTTTTTTTTGAAGCCTCAGTTTAGCTCAAGTTAGTCTGCCTCAATATAAATATGTAAATGTTACATGCTTTTGTTCTTGTTTCTAACTACACTACTATAAATATAGCCTAAGGGTGACAGCTTAGCAAGTATCCAAGCAGGTCATTTGGGAGCCAGACTGGACTCCTCCAGTCTGGCTCCCAAATGAGGAAAAGAATTAGGCTACAATCAATGTAGGTAATTTAGCAAGCTGGATCAAGTGACCAAGGAAGGTGGGGTAGGTAGGTTTTTGCTGTCTGCTTTTTGGTTATGGGTCATTATATGGTAATCCAAGCTCTACTCAGTCAACTAGAACTGAAGCATTTCCTTTGGCAGTTGAAGCCCAGCAAGAACAGTCAATGATTTAAGTCCACATACTTTGTAGAAAAAGGTAGAAACTCTAGTTTTATTTAGAGGTATAGTATCATATGTGGCAAGTGGCATCTCCTTTGGTAGATCATCTGTGTTGTGTTGTTTCAAGTTCCAGGGTTCAGACAGCACATCATAGCAGTATGTAATTTGATAACATGTTATAACATGTTTTAATCTCTAGAAATATTTCTAACTGTTCATTGGCACCACTTTGTTATAAGTTGAAACTTAAAACTGATGAAAGTGGCTGATGGTATAGCTTAATTAAGGTGGAGCAAAGATCTTTAAATTGACAAAAAAATTAACTATAGAGGTAGACTCAATTTTCAATGCCTGGAATCCTTTTATAACCCCAAATAACAATACCCCAGGACATTTGTCATCCTGGTTCATGAAATTAATGATGAGGTTTATTATTTTAAAAGGTCAATTTTTCAAAGAAAATATTTCCTCAAAAAATTGATGAAACTTCATGGGTTAATTCCACATAAATAACCGCCGTTGTTTTGCCTGAACCGCATTTAATCAGATACAAAAGCTTATCTTCATATTCTTTATTTACTATGCATTTTGGGTGCAATATTTTTGTGTAACTTGCACCCCTCTTCAGGTTTTACATTTCTATTTTATGTTTAGACATACATCTGCCCAGTGTTGATGTTGTGTCTGCTAGATGTATGTCTAAACATAAAACCTGAAGAGGGGTGAAGTTACACAAAAATATTGCACCCGAAATGCGTAGTAAATAAAGAATACGAAGATAAGCTTTTGTATCTGATTAAATGCTGTCCAGGCAAAACAACGGCGGTTATTTATGTGGAATTAACGCATGAAGTTTCATCAATTTTTTGAGGAAATATTTTCTTTGAAAAATTTACCTTTTAAAAAAAATATAAAGAAAACCGCACCATTGATATAATACATATCTATTACTTAAGGTTTATTATATTTTAAAATTGTACAGATATACTGTATATTTCATCCTGAATTTTTTACAATTACAAGTTTATTTTAGGTTTACATTTTAATAAGAGAATTAAGGTTATAATTACAACATATTTGGTTAGAGCTGCAGCTTACCTAGAATCATAAAAAGCGTGTGAATTTGGATATATGTTGTCTTTGTTTCCAAAAACAGCAAAAAAATGTACATAAATTATCTCAATTCTGTAATGTTTGTATATTTAACACACTAATACTGAAAAATATTTGCAATGTTAAAATATTATGTAGTACATGCAGAAGTTTAAGTTTTGATTGCCTAGAAACAGAGTTGGCCCTTCCATAGGGCGAACGGAGCAGCCGCTCCAGGCGCTAAGTCCTAGGGGGTGCCTCAGTGGTAAAAAAAGTAAAAGAAAAAATAATTTTTTTTCACTTTTCGATATTTTAATTGCAAACGTGTGGTCAGTATGTGAATGGCCTTATCTGTTGAGACGTGCGTGGGCGGGGTTCCACCCCCGGGCGCCATAATAAGATCTCGCTCCATCCTAAAACTTGCCTTGGGCCGGCACTGCCTAGAAAGAAACAGAAACTTACTTCTTTGAATTTATATTTATTGCCATAAGAAAATACATGGTTACAATTATATTTCAGAATTTTTACTTTTAAGATTTAGTGTGCTAGATAGCTAAGCTTTTGCAAACCCTTGTCAAAGAAGTTTCCCATTGACTTGCAAAACCAACCTTGTACTGTACATATAGCCATTCGGGACTATATGGCAGACGTTCAAAACTTTCCAACTTGAATTTTTTTTANTTTGGATATATGTTGTCTTTGTTTCCAAAAAAAGCAAAAAAATGTACATAAATTATCTCAATTCTGTAATGTTTGTATATTTAACACACTAATACTGAAAAATATTTGCAATGTTAAAATATTAGTACATGCAGAAGTTTAAGTTTTGATTGCCTAGAAAGAAACAGAAACTTACTTCTTTGAATTTATATTTATTGCCATAAGAAAATACATGGTTACAATTATATTTCAGAATTTTTAATTTTAAGATTTAGTGCGCTAGATAGCTAAGCTTTTGCAAACCCTTGTCAAAGAGGTCTCCCATTGACTTGCAAAACCAACCTTGTACTGTACATATAGCCATTCGGGACTATATGGCAGACGTTCAAAACTTTCCAACTTGAATTTTTTTTATTCCTTTGTGCTGTAGATGGAATTTGGCCCTCATTGTGTAGCAAAGTCACTCCATATCTCAGTAGGTCACCTCTTTTGAATAGTCTGTAGTAATCTTTTTGGTGTCTTGTAATAACTTCTGGCAATTTATTGCTGCTCCAAAGTGATGAAGAGCTTCAGACAACTGTGCAAGGTTGGGTCTGCAATTTGGCAAGAGTTTGCAAAAGCTCATCTTTTGCTATGACGTCTAAACCTTAAAGATGATTATGTTAAAAATAGCTGTAACTATATATTTCCTATGACAAATGCAGGTTCAAAGAAGTGCATTTCTGTTCCTTTCTAGCCTACTGGAACTTAATTTCTGGACGTATACTTCGCTGACTCTGAAGTCACTTAAGCGTAAATGATCTGTGGACTCCATCCATAAATTAATTATATATTTTGACATATAATCATGCTAAATAATTTAATTGCACCATACTTCAGTTGATTGGAATAGGTATCATTATGTTCTGTATTTTATGCTAACAAGGTTACATCATGAAGTTGGAATCACCGATTTTGATCAAACTCTGGGAGGTTATAGTGCAAACCCGACTGACAGTAAGGCACACTACTCAAAATTAAATAAGAAAATTAAAGTTAGAAATTCTAAAGGTTTTAAGTAATTGTGAAATTTTCATCATTTGTGAATGGGATGGTAGGCAGCCTGGTGGAGTTTTGGTGGTGGTGTTTCAAATCCTACTGGTTGATGATGGATAAGTGTTCTTAAACATTAATGTATCCTCCTCCTCCTCCTCCTGCCTTAACTTTGAAATTGATCATGGCTGCAATTAGATTTTGATTTTGAAGGATGCTTTCACAATATGAAAAAAAAAACCTTTAAATGTAATTTTGCAATTGTCACATTGTGATTCTTCTGCAGAACAAATTTCTATGCTATTGATGTTACCACAAGATATCGAAGTGGACATTTCATTCTTTAGAAAACAAAGACAAATTATACACACACTGTACACGAATATCAGAAAATGTTTTGTTTTTAAATAAATAAATTGTTAGATAGCATTTCTTACTTGGTTTTGACATTGACTTGTTACTTGAAATGGGTCCATTTTGTTGTTTTATTACCCTGCTTATTGTATATTTTGGTTTTTTAAATAAATCAAAAAATACCAAGAATACAGTGAAAATTAACAACATAACAGGATTCAAAACACTGACCTTGTGACCATGAAACCGGCAGATTTTCACCAAGCTATTAGCCACTCTGCAAATAAATGAGAAAATTAAAAAGTTGAAATGCACAATCGCTTAAAATCTTTAGAATTTAATTTAAGTAGTGCACTACTCAAAATTACTGCTTGGTACATGTCAGTCGTTGGGAATGCATTATAACCTCAATGAGTTTTATGAAAATTGGTGACACTGTCATGCAGTGTACAACAGAGCAAAAAAGACCCCCCATTCTTTTGATACAAAAGTCATTTAGGCAAGCCTTTAAATTCCCATAGATTTGATGTGATAACTATATAATAATACAGTAATTTAAGCTCAATTTATGTATCTGAATATACCAGCAATAACAATATACAGCATTCATATACAAGGTGTAAACATAGCTACTATATAGCAGGAAACTATTTTTAAGTACGTGAGAGTACAGTTAATTGATAGTGGGCTATTAGATGGAATAGCTACCATACACCTTGATCCATGTTGAATTCTATCTCGGATGCTATGAAAAAGTGTCACAATTGAGACACTGACTTTGCAATTTAAGTTAGGACAATATTTTTGACAGTACTAGTGACTTTTTCCCTATTAATTATTATTTCGTCTGAAGTGCATAAATACTTTGAACACACAACTTGCTACATCTGGTAGACATATAGCAAGATTTAGACAACATTCAGCATTCAATCTCATACGTAGATTCTGAGAATGATGTCTGACATCGTCTTATGTCCTCTTTAGGCCAAAAAACTGATGCTGAGTGATAGCTGAAAGGATCACCTGTCTAATATTCATTGAAGGGATACAAAACATGAAAAACGTTATGCAAAGATGTTTCAAATTAAACTTGGCCAGCGAAAAGGTGAGTTAATATGTAAATTAGCAATATATACATAATACTACATAGTGTACTGGCAGTTATTGAGTATATTGGTACTCAGTAGGCCTAAAGGCTGCTACCCCATAAGCCTGTGAAGTTCACTTGCATCCCACACAAGAGTTTAGTTAAATCAATTACTGATTTGTCTAATCCAAGTATAAAATGTTACACAACTGGAATTTTAGATCTCCATTAGCATATTCTAACTTAAACTAATACTACTTACAGGCTATTTCAAAAATGCCAATATATAAAACTGGGAGTGACATTTTCCTTACCTTCAAAACCAAAAATTGTGTTTTATTTATATAAATATATACAGTAAGAAATAAAAAATAGAACAGCAAATAAAATTGTCAAGTTTTTAATTTATTTACATAAATAAAATTATACAATGTAGTAAATCTAGAAGAAGAAATTTTCACAACTGTCCTTAGATGTTTTCTTCTGTCACAAACGTGGCCACGTTCTTGCAAATCTGAGTCACGGGCCTCAAAATTCAAGTCACTTTCTGCTGGGTTTTTGACACAGTGTCTGTTCTTCCTATACACCAAATCTCTTCTTTTGACTCTTTGCTTCTTCTTTGGGCACGTGGAGTAAATTTATTAAATCCGTAACATTCTGTAGGCACTTTTTAGGACTTACCGTTTTGTCCGTCTGCAATGTAGAATTGTCACTATTCGAATGTTTTGATTTTCTCTTTCTCTTTTTCTTTTTATGTTTTTTAACCAATTCTTTTGTTCTATCTATAAAAAAACAAAATAAGCTACATGTGAGCTACATTATTAATTTGCCAAATACACCAATTGCTAGAAAATTAAATTTGATGTATTATTTTTAGATATTACGAAAATCAAGAGTGGCTTAAAAGGTTAGTTAACTGTGTTTGTTTTTGTGCATTCAAAGTTCTGTAAGTCATCCAAAGCTACAGAAGTGAGATATTTGTATAGTAAAGTGACTATGCATTACCAAATGAGACTGATAGCAGTGACCTGGTGATAAAATTTGGAAGTTGATGTTCCTATCTTGGAAACCATGAGAAAAACAGAAAAAAGAAAGTTGTCACAAATTAGTTAGTAGGAAACATTTCATGGAAACTCTATGCCCTAATGAACAGTACACATGCAAAATGTGCTGTAACCATTCTTGCAGATAATCATTTGCATGTTGCCATGCCCAAGTTTGTATTGTTCATCAGGCTAATAGGCTATCATGGGAAACCATGTCAAATAAAATGCTAGGGAAGATACATGGACCATTTGAGCTGTATCGACAGCTAAGAGAGACTGGTGGTGCTACAACCCGTCCTCAAATGGACCAACCTAACAGTATATGTAGGCAAGTACAGATCAGCCTTCTATTTACATTTCACAGTAATAGACAATGCCATTTTGTACTAATTTGATGGTGCTCTGCAACTTTCTCATTTACTGTTTTCTGGATCTCATAATTTGAGACATGAATACTGTCATCAGTCTCATCTGGTAGCACATTGTTGCTTCCATTGCTTAAGTTATCTTCATTCAAAATTTAACTGACTTCTCCTTATATGGGGTACAGTACTTTTGTGCTGTCCTTATATACAGTTTAACCATTGTAAAGACTGATCCTATCCATTATATAGTAAGGCCCCGCTTAACGCTGCCTTGCTTAATACTGTCTGCTCGAAGCCAAAAAAGAAGCTCAAAATTTGTGCTGATTTAAATTATCATGGCATTAAAAAAAATGGATGGATTTTATTGATCCATACATAATACGATTATTTACGAACACAAACCAATCAGAAAAATGTGGCAGAAAGGTATACTTTCTTTAAATCTATGTTTGTTTGGTGCAATTTTGGAAAAAAATATAACATCATGGCTGTCACATGCAATATCAACTTCACCTGGCAAAAATTAACTGATAAATGCACGAAAGAAGCGTGGAAGAAGTTATGGCTGAAGATATCCAAGAATTCTCAACAAGAAGAGCCTATCGCTGTATCGTTAGGCTGATCAAACTCAATCTAATCGATACAGCAGGACTAGGAGATGTAGACGAACAGGCTATTGAAAAGTTACCACAGGTTTCTGGTGAGTCTTGTCAACAACGACTTTCAAGAAATGGCAGAACAAGAAATCCATGTAGAACTGGAAAATAGAGATTCTGGAAACAAAGAACCCAAAAAATTTCTCTACAAATTTCCTTAGTAAAAGTTTGGTAACAATAACCAAAATTGTTGATCAAATTGTAGAGAATGATCTAGATTTTGAAAGGAGTGCAAAAGCAAAACGAGGCATTTTGGATGTAATCTTCTGCTACTGACATTTGCTCAATGAAGGAAAAAAAAAGAAAGAGACAAATAAAACTTCATGACTATTGCAAAAAAAGAAGAATTTCAGAAAAGTCAGGACCTTCATGACATAAACATATGCACACAGAAATGTAAAGTTCATTTTATGTGTTATATTATTGTACAAATTAATATAAAAATAACTTCAAATTAAAGTAAAATTTTTTAGTTTCGGTCGCATGTTCCCCTATCTCTATTTACTCTGTTAAAATGACCTCATTTAATGCTGTTTCATTTAGCACTTTGTCGTCTAGAAATGCATCCCCCGCATTAAGCGGGATCTTACTGTACTACTATTTATTGTATGGTTAGTATGTATACAATAAATAGTAGTACAATAAGACCCCACTTAATGCGGGGGATGCATTTCTAGACGACAAAGTGCTAAATGAAACAGCATTAAATGAGGTCATTTTAACAGAGTAAATAGGGATAGGGGAACATGCAACCGAAAATAAAAAATTTTACTTTAATTTTAAGGGGTAAAACAGTAGGCAACATGATTTAGAGTTCTTAAATTGGCAACAATGCCACTACTGTAGATAAATACAAGGGGATTCCCTTTATTGTATGAGGGTGAGTCAAAAGAGTGAGAATGAATTTATTACTCATAAAATATGGCATTTTTTTTGTAGTAGTTTCCATTGAGTTGTATGCACATGGCCCAATGTGTCTGCCAGTCCTGGAATCCATCTTTCGACATCATCTTCAGAACAGTTGTTGAGCCGAAACATTGGCTCTGCAGCTCCGACTTTACTTTTTATCCTCATCTGAAATCACATGGAACAAGATGATGGTTTATATAGAGAATACAGCACACGTTCAATGTTTGATGGTGCAATACACATTTCCCATGGTCAAAGAAGGTTGTTTGATCTGTGGGAAAGTAATGGTGATTTCCTTCAACTACCATGGAATAATCTACCAACATGAAGTTTCCCTGCATACAATGGTTACTGGGCAGTATCTTATGACATGTTTGGCCATGATCTTAAAAACTATCAGACAAAAAGGCCTAACTTGTCCATCTGGTTAGTGCCTACATCAGTGTTTTTTAACTGGGGTGTCGCAAAGTTTAGGGCCTTTAGGCATTTTTAAATTTTTTTATTTGATTGACCATTGACCAAAAAAGGCAGTACCATATATTACTCTTGGGCCCAAAATAATAATTATTTATTTACTTATTTTTAGGAATGGACAAATTTCTCATTAAGAAAAAACAACGTAAAGATTCTACAGATGAGAGTGAGAAAAGTTTAAATCAAGATGACTGCTTGAGTGAGAATAGGAAAACTTCAAGTGGAGAAGTAACTGCTTCATCTTCACAATCTTCAAACCATGCTGTTTGAAATGCTAAGAAGAAGGTGCACCTATATTTAGACAGTTATTTAAATTTGGGATTCACATGGTGCGGGGATAAAGACTCTCTAAAGCCAAATTGTGCAGTTTGTGGTGATACGCTGGCTAGCGAAGCAATGGCACCTAGTAAATTAAAAAGACATTTATTTAAGAAGCACATACATCATTCGGACAAGCCTAGATCTTATTTTGAAACATGTTTAAATTCTGAAGAAAAACAATCCGCAACTTTATCAGATATTTTTACCATTTTTTGTAAAAGCCCAGAAATAGTTGCCAAAATAATTGCGAAAAATATGAAACCACGTACTGAAGCAGAAAAAGTAATTTTGCCGTCCTGTATATTGCTATAGTGAAGACAATGTTCGGTACTGATACATAAAATGACGAGATATAGAAGAAAATGTAATTTCTGCCATTAAAAAAGCGATATGTTTACAATTAAGTCGATGAGTCAACAGATATAGCCAATATAACCCAACTTCTTGTTTTCATTCTATTTATCCATAATGAAAAAATAGTAAATGAATTTTTGTGTTGTAAGGAACTTGAGAAAACTACTACAGGCCGAGTTATATTTAATACAGTAAATTGCTATCTAGAAATGCATGAGTTAAGGTGGGAATCATATATTGGAATTTGTACAGATGGTGCACTTTCCATGGTTGGTTCGATAAAGGGGTTTATTTCCTTGGTTAAAGAATGTAACATTAATATTATAACAACACGTTGTTTTCTTTACTGTGAAGTCCTTATAGGAAAAACCCTAAACATTGACATAAAATCTGTATTGGATGCAGTAGTAAACTTCATAAAAAGCAGACCACTTAAATCACGCCTATTTGCCGCTTTTATGTGAAGAGGTTGGGGCAAAATGTTAATCTGTTGCTGCACACAGAATTCAGATGGCTATCATGTGGAAAAGTGTTAACTCGTGTATTTCAATTGAGAAATGAAACTGAATTTATTTTTTAATATGGAAGACAAAAGAATTTTGTTACCTGTTTGTTAGTCATGATTGGTGCAACAAATTAGCATACTTGGTAGACCTATTTGAAATATTGAGTACAATAAATACAAGTATGCAAGGCAAAGAAGAAGAAATTTCGTCTTCAGCTGACAAAATAGAGTTTGCAAGATAAATTAAATTTATGGTTAAGAGAAGTAAAAGAAGGGAGTGTAAGCATGTTTAAACATTTTTCTATTATGACAAATGTTAAAATAATACCTCTTACTCAATAATATAAGTCACTACTTTCATTTTTTACGTATTGAGGATTATGATTGAATAAGAAATCCATTCATTGTGGACATTAATGAAGTAAAGATAAATCTTGAAGAGCAAGAAGCACTAATTGATTTAAAGAATGATAGCAATTTAAAACTGAAATATGAGGAATTGAATATTAATGAATTTTGGATATACATAAAACCAGAGTATCCTTAATTAGCTAAAAGAGCTCTCACAATATTATTGCAATTCTCAACTTCATATTTGTGTGAATTTGGATTTTCAACTCTTACGTCCATCAAAAATAATAAAAGAGAACATTTGCAAACGATCGAAGAAGAAATGAGTGTCTCTCTCTCCAATATTCCGCCCAGAATTTAAAAAATTTGTGCATCATGCCAAGCTCAGATTGTGCATTAATTAAAGTTGTTATTACGTAAGTATTTATGCATCTTTGTGTAATTTGATAATAAAAAACAATAGTGAGACTATTATTTTACATGTAGGTATTTCGACAGAATTCAATGGACTTAAATTTTGATTTTGAACACTTAGAAATGCTTTTTTTTGCATTAAAATGCTACTTCAAACTGTCAATTTTAAAAATTTTTCTTCCCAAGGAGGGAGTCCCCTACCTGGACCCCACCCAGTATTGTGCATAATATTCGTTTTTACAAAAAATTCATCTGCCCCATTAGCCCCCCCCTTATTCAGATTCTAGATCCACTGCTGGTGAAGGGTATCACAACTTTTTATTTTTCAATTGGGTGCCACTCAATGAAAAAGGTTGAAAAACATTGGCCTACATCATAACAATGGAAACACCCACACTGCCAACATTTGAACCAACAAAACATCAAATGTTTGCCAAACCCTCTATACAATCCAGGCCTTGCTTCATGACTTTCTTTTTGTTCCCTCATCCATAATTGGAGCTATGAGGTCAGTATTTTTGCTCAACAACTGCTGTTCTGAAGAAATCAGAGGTAGTTCTAAGGACGATATCAAAAGATGGGTTCCGGCAGGTCTTCCAGGACTGGCTGCTGAGTGCATACAACTCATTGGAAACTACTTCAAAAAAAAGGCATATCAACTTGGACTCTGAGAATAGAATGGATTTATTAGGCACTCTTTTTTGACTTGCCCTCATATAAATGAAACCATGTGACTAATCACTGACAGAGCAGTGCAACAGGATGTGTGCTTCAGAAACATAAAAACACATGATTTTCATGAATAAGAGTATGCTTGTATTTAGAAAGGAGTCTTAGTTTATTTGAAGTGACTAAAACACTTGACTGAAACATATTTGTTGCACAAAAGAATTTTTAGTATTCTTTGTTGAATTTTGTAGATAACAGGAATTCAAAGTTAGAAATTGTCTCAGCATGGTTATTTTTAACTTTTGTCCAGTTTTTGTCATTTTATTAAACTAAAACTTGTTAGAATAGTAAATTTGACTAGTCCATTCTCAATCATTAATAATTAAAGTAAAATCCACTTATTGTAAGAATTTTGGGGTTCTCCTATATTGATTATACTGTAATACTTTGCACAATGTTATCAGTTGAGTGAAAAATTCTAATTTGATTGACTATGACTTAATTGTGCTGATAAAATATAATTACCTGCTTCCTGTTTGCCTTTCTTGAATGGATTTTTGTAACTCATAATAAAGGGAATGGTGGGGAACATTCTCTCCATTCTCAGTTCGTAGCATTGCTGAAAAGTTTGAAATAATAATTAATTAGGTTAGACTTATTCCTGCATGCAAGATGCAATAGTATTTAAACACTAACTTGCTAATTATTTGCATTGTTTAACTGCAAAACAAGAAATATATTTTAAGTTACAGCAATACTCAAAAAAATTTGCAAACCCCAGTGTTTGGAAAGTTACGAAATTTCAATCCCTTCATTTTGATTCTTCAAAGCAAACTGACAGCAATTCTAAAGAGCATTTCAATGTTTAGATGTCTGTCAGCCTCTACAAGTTAAGAAAATCACTTCAAGACAAAAATATCCTGAATTACAAAATTAGTTATGTATCAAAATTATCTAAATAAATAATCAACTATTTATTGTAGTGTGTTTTACACAATTGTTTATACTTAATAAACTAATACCCCATATTGATGATAAATTTCTTCACTTACTTTTAATTTTTATGAATCCATTAACTTATCATTTACTTAAATTAGGTGATTACTTGTCTTCTTTATAGAGAATATGTTCTATAGAACTGTTATGAATATAGGATAAGATTTTTTTCATAATTTTTTTTAAAAATAATAAAATTATACTTTGTTTCATACAAGGATGCAACAAAAAATATACATAATAAAAGACACTATTAAAACAATAAAATAGAATAATAAATTCTAATAGTGCCTTTATTATGTATAATTTTTGTTTTACTGCTTGTTTAATTTTTATGTTCTAAGTGTTAAATTGGCACGTTAAATCAAACTCCTGGAAATTTTGATCTGTAATCAATATTTTATCAGTTGTTTTACCAATCATCATAATTTTATTGTACTTTTTGTAAATGTGCTAACAACAATTTCATAATTATTTATTGTACAACAAGTGGGACTTAAGGTCCAAAATGCATTCTTTTTGAAATAATAAAGTGATTTTCTAAGGCTAATCTGATGTCCTGTAGTGGTGTAATAAGTGTAGCAATAAAGAAACGCCAATATAGTGCTCACAAGTAAATACAGAAAACATTTAGTAGTCCAGTTGAAATTAATCTAATAATATGACACTTAAATCCAAACAAAAACATCTGAAATGTAAAAAAAAAAAAGCCAAATATAAAATTATGGCGATTTAGATGACAGTGTAATGTTTTATCTTACAAATTTTTCAATATTAAAAAAACATTAATACAGGCAAATATTTTGTGGTTACTGCTTCAAAACACCAAGCTTATCTACAAAAAGAAATTCTACTGTCATCTAAGTTATAATTTTTTTTTTATATCTCAGATGTTATTGGTTAATGATTGTGATATTACATCAAGACCTAAGACAATGACATACTCTACAGTTTGGTCAGCAGCAATCATGTTGCAGAGTGCCGATGGAATTAAGTAATAAAAGTAAAATAGCCCTATGAGGAATACTCACAAACATTGACCTGGAACTTTTGCAAGCCCCTCACTGATAATGAGAAAGGCTTTAGTTTTAAATTTGAGCTTTCTAAACCCAGTAGTTTTTTCTCTCAGAGTATCTGCAGTGCTGGATGAAGAAAATATAGTTTTTTTTGACAATTTTTGCACTTTTCAGCAACCCATTTACAAAAAAGCCTGAAATTTTGCACACTATGTAAGTGTCTTTCAAATGAGATATTCAGAATTACCACTGCTTATGTTTAAATACAGTAGAGCGTCATTTATCTGAAAGCATTTCAGTCGGCAAATTTAAATTTTCGCAAGTGCTGTGGCGCTGCAATCTTTGGCTACTCCAATATTTTTTTTGTTGGTATGTGTGTTTTAGCTGGCAGCTCTGGCATTTTTGTGTGGTATTTTTCTGAGGACTGTGTATCGTGCTGAATCGAACATTTTTGATGATCAACTAGATCAACTTCTAAAGTATATATTTTTTGGTTTTTATATTTTTCAATATATTTATTTCATTTGTAAAAAATAAAGAAATCATTTTTAATGATACAATAGCCACGATTATTATTTTAAAAAGTTTACATTAGGCTTAACATCGACAAAAATTCAATGCAAAGTGACACGCAACAGAGAAAAATTTCAACCTGGAATAGGTTAATATATTTTTTTGTACATAATTGATTATCCGAAAAATAAGTTATCCAAACAACCCCAGTCCCCAATTGATTCGGATAAACTACGCTCTACCGTATCTCAATTTCTTCTTTGTTTATTGCCATTGTGACCTCTTATGAATTCCTCCAATTTCACTGTTATTGTTGTACCTTCAAAATGAATATTAAATGCCAAAGACATGGAAACTTTCCTAACAGCATTGCAGTAAGCCATCAAAAAAAGGATTGGAACAAATTAAAAGAAAAGAAAAGAAAACTCATTTGCCGTGATGATTATTGATTTGACAGTTTCAAAATCCGATTTGAACATATTCAGAGAATTTGGGTAATTCTAAATCCGAAAGATAGAACACCTGATGACAGCTCATAATTAAAATATTCTAGTATAAAGGTGAAAGTTTTGATACTACAATGTTTGCTGGACAAGAATGAAATGTACATTTAACCTAAAAGAGTTATTCAATTTCTAACAGGTTACAAGAAGGAATGTTATCTTAGGAAATTACAGTTTTACAAAGTAATGAATAATTAATTCAATAATAATTTAACTCACATATCCAAAATGCCCTTTTTTCCCACAATTGTAACAATATGCATTGTTGTTTACAGATCTTTCACGTTGAACGATACATTTATTCTCTCTCTGTAATAGAAATGATATATAATTATTTAAATTTATATGTTATAGAAAAAATGTAAAAATATATATACTTTTCTATATATATAAAAAAGGGTGGTTGAAAAACTTAAGAACAAACATTCTAAGGATGCAATCTGTACAATTATTCTACAGTGTCCAGAAAATTACCGTGCAATGAGAAATTTGTAACAAGATTAAAGTTATAGGTACAGCATTGCTTACAAGACCCATAAGTCATATGTCCTGCATAATGGTGTCACTGCTTGCTCACAGATGTTCTGTTTTTGGAAAACTTCTTTGTAGATTCATAATCCCCCATGGAATCTGGCCTGCTAGATCTCTGGACCTCACTCCCGATTTTGGAGCCTCTAAAGAACATTTCTAGCATTTGCTGTAGGAGAAATTGCAGTATCACATGTAAAATTTTTAATAAAACTTTACTTAAACCTTTTCCATTGCACAATAATTTTTCAGACACCATGTGTATTGAAATTCAGATGGATGCAGGAGAATCACTGACAAAATTATAAAGTTGAAAAATCATTAATATAAGTTAAAGTTATCTGCATAAAACACATTAAAATTAAATGAGACATATGACAAAAATTTACACTGGTATGTATTTGAAATATTGCAGGATATAACTTCGTTCAGCATGCCAAATGAGTTCGTGCCACATGAAATTCTTGACACTTCTGTATTGTTCCTTCAATAACTCAAGACTAAGATCACAAAATGAGAATGTAATATAACTCTAAACACAGAATTGACTTGATCTATCTGAGGGAAATCAGCTGAATGGAAAGTTGTTTGATTATGTTTTGCTGTACAAATTTCCCTCATAGCCCGAGCAGTCTGAAAACAAAAATTTCCAGAGCTCAGAATTAAACTTGGACACTCCAAGTAGGAATGCATCTTGTTTCTATACTATCTACAAATACCATTATTACATTGGTTCTTAGAAATTAACATTTATACAATAATTTTTAAATACCAGTTTGATAACAAGAGTTATTTTCTAAATAGCTGGGTTTGTAGCAGTTTGTCATTGTAAATTTTCATGAATTTTCCACATCAAAAACTTCCAGTGCCCTAATATAGATTTAAAGCTTGTTCTGTACTTATGGCAAAATTGTTAATTTTATAACATAGCAATAATACAAAATTCTTTGTACAGGTAGCCCTCGGTTTACACCGGTTCACAATAACGCCGCTGCGCAATTCGCCGTTTCGAGGTGTAATTCCCCGATTTTCCCTACGCTAGACTGATTTTCATTTCAGTTTTGATGTATTTACTGAGCCGCGACATTGTACATTCGTTAAAACAAAGATTTTTATTAAGTATATTTATTTTTTCTGTTTAATATTATTGGGTATATACACATTTGCATTAAATTAATATTAAAATACTAAACGTTTAGGTACCCACGAGTCAAGATATTATACTTAATAGTCCAATAAATGGCATCCGAATCCATAGCGTCAATGAATCCCTTATCAGTTCATTCACGAAAACACCTTAAGCAAATCTTTCTGTTAAGAGATACCAAAAGCTAGTATGTTCTACATTTGCTTCTAAAGAAAGCAATGATGGTTTCTTAAACTTTACCTTTCATTTTTCAAAAGATACTCTACTTCACATTTTGATCATTTGTAAAGATTTGCAACACACTACCCACTTCAATTCCTACAAAGGCATTGATAAATCCTGGTATGGGGTCCTGTGCCGTGCTTCTTCTAAAAAATACAGAGTTCTGATTACACGTTGCAACTCTGTTGTGTCATGTAAAATAATAAGCAAATCCATCTGCAATTTCTAGGCAATACACTTTAATACCTCCCCAAAACAAAATCATGAGCACTCTTTAACACAGCTTTTAGTTTGAAAATTTGGTGCAAATCCAAGACTAGTTATATATGATGATTTAGATGCACTCAACTGCATACATTTTGCAATTTCACTGACTGGAAAACCTAAACAATATGCCCTCTGGACTACAAAAACTTCTCTTTTTTATTATAATATGTAAAAGCTACAGTAATTTTGCTTCTTTGGAATTTTTATTTATTGGCTTTGCCACACACTCAGGTTCTTTGTAATTGTGATTGTGTGCCTTTGTTACTTCTGCTCAAGAATTCTCATTCATTATTTTTATCTGCAGAAAACCAGCACCTGTGGCCATAAAATTGTCTTTAAATTTGCAGTGGATCTTGATTTTTCTCATGTAAATGTGACACTTTCCCACTGTAATAACACATTTCCTCACACTACTCAACTTGAAGTTTTTTCACATATTAACATAAGGTTTGTCTTTTTGTACTGATCTTACCCAAGCTGACCATTCTGGAAGCAATAAAAGGGGGTTCCTGTCTGGATTGTAGTAAGGTGTCATTGACCTAATATCAAAGCAAGTCTTGAAAAATATGACTAAATAATCCAACCAGAATCAAAGAATTTGTAAAAATAGAAAGAATTGTGCCTAAAAGCATATTACATTGACTTATCTTCAATAGGCTACCATGAACATGTATGTACACTATGTCACAAAAGTATCCAGACAGAGGATATAAATGATAAAGTGTCAGATCATTTGCATAAAACTGTCTCCAACAATTTTCATCAGCAAGTTAGTTAAAGTATTCGTTTGATTAATTCTCTTGTTTTCATTGTTTACCATGAGAAAAGAAGTATCAGTCTTGTTAAAGAACTCGTTATTAAGGAGTGGCAAATGGGAAAATCTGTATGGAAAATCGGAGTCCACAATACAAGATACAATTAAGAAATTCAGAACAACAAACAGTGTAGTTAATAAGGCTCAAAATGGGCACCCTAAAATATTTCCCTTGAGATATAAATGTGCCATTGTCAGAAAAGTGAAGAAAAATTCACAAATACGAGCTTCTAAGCTTGCTGCTGAGACTTCGGTAGAATTTGGAGTATGAACATCTGCAGAAACTGTGAGAATTTTAAGAAAAAGTGGTTATAATATAAAAAAGTTGTGTAATTAAGAAAAAAAAACCATTTACCAGCCAAAGAAAATCAGTACAAAAGGTTAAAGTTTGCAAAAGAGTTTTATGCAAAACCAATAACATTCTGGAACTGTTTTGTGGTCAGATCAATCCAAATTCAATGGTTTTGGTTAAGATGGTCACTTAAAAGTATAGAGAAAATCTGAAGAATCTCTAAAAGTCAAAAACCTGTATCATACAGTGAAATATGGAGGCGCTTCAGTGCTAGTTTGGGGTTGTATGTCTGCAAATGGTTCTGGAACTCTCATTATTCCATCAACAAATTTCAATCAACATGTGTATAAACAGATTTTAAATGAAGATGTTCAGAAATCAGTAAGAAAATTAAAATTAAAGCGAGGGTTTTTTCTAGCATGACAATGATCCAAAGCATACTGTGAAATCAGTCAAAGAGTTTTTTGATGTGCACCATATAAAAGTGCTTCCCCGTCCTTCACAATTGGCCGACCTTGACCCGACTGAGCATTTATGGGATCACAATGAATGGACCATCAGAACAGAATCAATAACAAAAAATTCATCTTAAAACATCACCACTAGAGTTTGGAATTTAACATACAAAAAAAATTGGTTGAATCAGTGCCTAGAAGCTGTAATTAGGACAATAAGAGGTTCAACTCATTATTAATTAAAGGTATAAAATTTTGTTTTTTCATTATTTATTTCCTATGTTCGGATATTTTTGTGATGTGAAATTGTCAATGTTTTAAATAAAATTATATTTTTTTGATTTGATCAATGCTTTTTGTATATGTAAATATTTTTTTCTGGCATAGAAAAGTCTGAGGATTTCAGATCTGTCATTATTTTTTTACAATTTCATGTGATGAATGAGTTATAACTAAAAACCTCTTAAATCTTATAGGTGTCTGGATATTTTTGTAGTGTGTGTGATTTAAGAACAAAAATCATTAATTTTGGATTTTTTTTCTAATTAAATTTATACTTTATCATAAGCATTTCTTAAAAGTTTAAATTAATATTTCTCATTTGATATAATAAAATTCATATAATTGACAAAATTTGTCATTTTATCTACACATGAACACACTGTTCTTTTTGCTACAGCATTTCCAGTGCCAAATCATAATGTTAGAAGGGCATGCAACATTTTTAGACCAGTTTCAGCATGACTGTGTGAATCAGTTGTGTACATGAACAATTTTTAGAAAGATCCTTACAAACTGGAAGCACTCACTGTCTGTACATTTCACGTTATTGATATAAATGCACAGATTGGTTTGAGATTTGACATACTAGCAGTTCTATGTGGACAAAATGTTAACTAACATGCATGTGTTAGCATACATATTTTGTTGCCACTTGTTGCATCAGCATAGTTATTTAAGAGTATAAAAGATTGTTCTGTAATTTTCAAAAAGTAATCGTAAAGTCAATAATTTAAACATATCTTCTGTAGAAACTATGAAAAATCTATAGTGGTTGGCATCTCTGATCAGCATGTCATCAAAAATACATGTGCCTACCCATCATAAGACAGGAATTATTTTTAATGCCCATTCACTGAGCACTCAATAAACGCTGAACTCTGAATAGACTAATCTGTTCAGAAAAGAAGCACTCAGTCTCCAACAAAACTAGTTTCTGAATGCTGCCTTTGATCCTGCGAAGTTGGATATGTCAGTAAACTCCTAAACACATCACACACGAATGAAATTTTGCACTTCTGCTGCGTCAATTAAACAATTATTTTGAATAAAACATGTAACCTTAACATGAGGTAGCAATCTCCATAAAAATGTCATGAAATTGTATTTTCTAAATCAATGAAATTTTAGGTTTTTCATGACTGCTACAAATCCCATACAAACACTGCTTAGACTTGTCTATAATCAATGTAGGAAGTACATTTAATGAAAAATTATCATTTCCACTGCTAAATGGCACACATTGTTTAATATTAATGTTTTGTAAAATGGCTGCTTGAAGAAATTTATTGGCTAATGAAGTTTTACATTTAATAAATAATAATACAGGTCAGAAATACATTGTTTTGATGCTTAAACCAAAGAAATGAATCCAATTTAAGCTCTGTCAATATAAACTATTAACAATGTAACCACCGTACTATTATATCGGACATTTTTAATTATCATAACATAAATAATAATGGGGTAGTCCAAAATTCAATTAGCTATCAAAAGACATAGATTATTCCATGACGTGTTAAAACTAATTTGAAGGTGATGAAGATGATGATTCAGTTGCTTCACCGGAAACAAGTAAATCATCTATTATTTATATCTATGACTATTACCAAATAAACCAAACTCACTGTTAAATGGTACCTTCTCCAAAAATCTGGGCAATTCTAAAAAAAAATAATAAATATATTAGTTATTAAAATAAGTTTTTTTAAAATAAAATTTGCATAGATATTTTAAGTGAATTTAGCATATTTTTTAAAACTAAAATAAATAAATAAATAAAAATTTTATATTAACGCTTTCAAGTAAGAAACCAAACTTCAGATATTTTACAAATGCAAACAAAGAAAAAAGAATAGCGAACATATGGAATCTGGATAGAAGAACACCGACCAAAAGAGGGCGCAAATACTTTTTTTTTTTTTTTGCTCTAAATAGAAGGTTCTTTGAAGNTTCTACTAATGGATTTTCTGTTTTGCAAGTGTTTTTAATATCAATTAGGCTATATATCAAACAAATTAAATAATGATAAAAATTTAAGCAATCACAGTTAGCTAAAATAAATCTGATCTCAAATTTTTGATTGTGTATCAAGCAAAAAATCAAAACACTACTTTACTAAAACTTAAATAACTAAAATAAATAAGACTATTGTTAAATATATTTAAAGAAATCGTACAAATTTTGTGTGTCCTGGAAGCTGACATAATTTACATGTTTGCTCTAGTTCTGTTTCTATATGGGCTTTACATTTCTTCGTCTTGTGCTTGAGAGAAAAGCATATTTCGCAACTTCTCCTCGGACATTTTCTCCCAATATGACCGGAATAGCCGCAAAGATAACATGTGGGTTCTTTCTGAAAAGTTTTGAAAGTTTTAGTTCGGGCTATAAAAATAAAATGTGAAATCATTCAAAACACTTCTTTGAAGCAAAAATGTTTTTTTCCCCCCATCTTGATTTTTGTTCTCCTTATATCTACATGCAGTCCTAATATACTGAAATTCATTGCTTCTTTTATTATTAATTAAGGAGACAAAATACATAGAATAATTTGTTTTCTTTAAGTATATTTATTGCATTTTTTATAAAATGTATTTGGAAAACTTCTGAGCGTTTATTAGCTGCAATTCTGTTTACATTGTCATACACATACAACAAAAAATCAGATTGAAACTTATATATTCAAAAATATAAGCATAAGAAATGTAATCTTTAAATGTAATCAATCAAAAGACTCCCAATTCTATAACTATTGAGAAATAAATTATACTTAGAGTCAATAAATACAAATAAATTTGTAAGAATGTGAGATGAGAGGATACTGAGTCTGCATTTCTCTACAATCCCACAGGGAGAAAATAGAAGAAGTCATTAAAATGCAGAGATGACAACAATATTCAAAAATATATACTAATTACCTTAGATTTTGTACAATCCCTCATCCTATGTCCTCTTTCCAAACATATACAACACACTACGTAAGCAGTTTTATTGTAATACCGCGACGTCTGTGACTGATATAGATCTTGATTACTGACATACCACAACTTATCTGTAAAAAAAGATTAATTATTGTCATTAATTTTGTTTCAGATTTATTCAGCTATATAAAGTAACATTTTTCAAAGTAAATAATTATAAATTTTATTAGTTTATGATTACTATAATTTTGTGCAGACAACCCGTGACACTTTCAATACTCTTCAGAAAATTTCTAGAAGAGAATGGGTGTTGTCTGCCCCCTACCTACAACAAAATGGTTACATACAACTACAGATTGCTAACATGATGATGGAGTTGTGGAGATGTTACACTCTTGGATACTGTTTTCCTATTCTTCTTTTTTGGGCAATATGCATATTTTTCTCTTGATACTGATGTTACCTGTGGAGGATCTGATTTCTTTCTCAACACTTCCAGGATTTTAGTATGGAGATTCTCACTCGCATTGTCTGCAAGGAAAGAACCTATATTTTCTTCCTCAGACTCCTCATCAGACCATTTCAAAAACATTTTATCACATTTTATGACAGTACACATATACAATATCAATTTGCAATTAGAATTGTACCACTTCAAAAAAAGACACAGGATTACTTGCAGGTGAACGCCGCACTAACTTGTCCAACATGACTGAAACAAAGGCAGCACTGAAAACGTTAGTGATGACTATTATTTCCAATTCTAGTATCTTGTTGAAGGGGATACTTGGATAGAAAGATAGACAAGAGTTTGGCCACAAAACTTCCAAGAAGCCAGAGTTACAAATGTTTGAAAATGAAAGGTGAGTGCAGCATTCACCTTTGAATAATGGCAGGTTAATAAAGTCAACAAAAATTTATTTAACAGAAAATTCAATTTATTTTTTATTAAATAAATTTAATAATTTTTCATAGACTAATAATCCTAACATAGCTTGTGTCACATTAGGCTTACCTGAACTTAAAGAAAGAATAAAATATTTTGACCATAATTACTGGATCACATTAGAATACTCCAAGAGAAACACGTGATGCATCACGTATATATACTTCCCATTACCACCTACCTATATTCCACAGGTTATTTTTTCTGTAATGCTGAGTATGCAAGTCCGGTGAAATGTCTATTACATTATGATTTTTTGCATTATAAAAGACTACATCAATGTATTCTTTACAGAACTTAATAATTTGGTATGAGTTATTTATAATTTATAATAAATTAATTATTTGTTTCAATCAAAGATTTAAAATCTTTTAAATTACAATATTAACAATTAAGTATTAGTTTATTTGAAACTTTGATGTTGACAAAGCAGAGACTACATAATGTCCCATACACAAGGCGATGTCTGTCTTGGCAGACTTTTCTTTTGTTTAGTCAGAGCAATGATTATACAACCACAGAGTACTAATTGTCTCCATTTTAGGGGAGATAGAGTGACAATAGAGTTGCCACCCAGTCATCATTGGGTCAGTTTGACCAGCAATTTCAAATTAAGGCTGGCAGTTAACAAAAATATTTAACAACATGTTACATTTTCAAATGTAAATCGCACGATTCTAAGTAAAAACACTAGTTTGCACTAAGTCTACTGCCATCCTGAATTTTAAAAATTGATTTTTTAAGATGTCAGTCTAGATATTTGTGAGTTTTCTTTTCCTCCGAATAAAAAAGTTCACACAATTGAACATTTAGGGAAACCTGGCCCAAGTGAATGAATTGTCGTTGTATAATTTTATCATTGTTATATATTTTAATTGTTGTTTTATTTTAAATTGCAGATAAATTTTTGTTAGAGGATTGAAATCTACTGTCTTAGGACATTTCCAATTATATGTATAAATAAAACAAATACTTACCATGATTAAGAGTTAAAATTAAGTAGTTATACAGATAGCAGTTTATTGTAAGAAAATTGTAGATATGATGACGGATTTTACTTAAACAGTCAGGCTCTACTTAGACTGAATGGTAAAACACAACTGAAATTAGTATTGTAAGACAAATTCTTCCGTGGATATTTTGAAGATAAAGCCTATTTCAACTTCCCAAGTCACTCTAAGTGTTGGTCAAAAGTTTGTATACAAATTTAAGAAATGGATGATACTGCAGAAGATGAACCTATCTTGTTCACCTCATGTGGTTAACAATACAGCCTCAAGACTGAAGAGAAATATACCAAGCAAATTGTTTGAAAAGCAATTTCTTATGGCATGATGACTCATTGCCATTGTGCTCATGACATTGAAGTGTGCAATAAGTCAATGTTCCGCAACCTTTTTCTACTTGCGGCACACCCATGACTCAACACGGCACACCAAAATGTTATTCTCCTCAAAAACGTATGATATGATACTATTAATAGAATTACGTAATGCCACTAACCTATTATTATTGTTATTAAACATACACTAACACCTGTGAGCAAATTTTCTTTACATATAATTTCTTAGAATACATAAAAATGCGTGACTTGTAATAAAGAATAAACAAACATCATCTTATTTCATCAGTGCTGCGGCAGAGAATGAAATACAAGCATAAGAAACACAACAACTGTGATAAAAATATATAAATAAAATTTGAAATTAACAGAATATGTAAAAGTTCATGTCACACCTTTCACCATGTGACGGCACATCAGTGTGCCGCGGTACACCGGTCGCGGAACACTGCAATAAGTTTCATGTGATAGTAGTCCTAGATTTACCTGGTGAGTGCATATAACACTTTATTATTGAAAACAATATTAATTCAGGTATGTTAAGCTAATGTAATACTTTTTATTTTCAATAAAAATGAATCAGGTAGCAAAACATTTTTGAAATTTGTCATGGAAGAACATGGTTTAGTAAAATAGTGAACATACATTTAAGATTGAAAATGTCATTATAGTCAATGAGATGTAGTAGTGAAACCAAGAAACTAGCAAGTGGCTGTCAAGAGACTAAAATAGTCTGACATTATGACTTTTTTTTTTTTTTTAAGGCCTCTTCCCGCTCTGAGAGCACCAAGAGGCCAAGAACTATCAATGAGAAATGTAAAATGTATTCTAATGTTTAATGTGAAGAAGGAGTGAATCGTATACATACTATTTAAGGGAGTGTTGCCTGCAGAGCAAGGGTGCTGTAAAGGTGTTAAGAGAAACCTGCCAACATTGTTGGGGGATGATTGGGATAGGACAGAAACAGTTCAATGAGAATAGCAGAGAAATAATATGCTCCTGCAGAACAATTTACTAGTCTTATGCTAATGTATTTAGGATAGAAGAACACCGACCAAAAGAGGGCGCAAATACTTTTTTTTTTTTGCTCTAAATAGAAGGTTCTTTGAAGCGAATTTGAAGAGAATTAATGCAAAAGAAACAGCAAAAGAAATAAATATATGCCGTCTGCTACTAAATTGGGCTATTGTACTACGGAATTGGCTACGAAACTGGGCTAGAAACCAGACGCAAGCAATCACCAAAGAGGCATGTACAGTGTTTGTTGGTACAGATGTGAGTTCAAGTAAGCAGGAAAATTTGGTTATTGAATGCAAAAATGTTTATAAAAAACTGGTGCCTGGATGAAAACGAACCAATGTGACCTATCTATAATTAATGCCTACCTCGGGAACCTCTAGGTTAGTTTTTTTTTTTTTTTAATAAATAGATGGCACTACAATCACGCTGAACACACATAAATAGAACTTATTTTTAAGGGGAGATGGGTGGGGGGTGGCTTGTGGGACTTAAAGTCCCAGAATCCTGGTTATTTCTATCAGGTTGCTGGAGGGAGTCAATGTGGTGATTTTGCTGCTGGATGACTTGATTAAAATTTTTCTCGAGCTCCTGGATCAGAAAGCTTACTCCAGCCAGGCTTTGAATGGCTTTGTCTTTAAGTTCTGTCCGCATGTTGCGGGCGGCCTCTATACACTCTTTGACGGTGAATAGTTTCTCTTTTATTCCTTCTTCTAGCTCCATGATGATGTCTTGAGACTTATCCATTCTAACTCTTTAGGTATTAATTTATTGTATTGACTTTAATTTTATTTATATACTATTCCTATTATACTATTATTTATATACTATTCCTACTGTATTATTTTAAAACTTTACCTAACCCAGGCACCAGAATGAATGAGGTGTTTTACTATGTTTTACTCAAATATAAGCACTCCTGAACTGGAATCTGACATTATGACTGTTCTTGTTGACCAGTTTGGACAAGGGGATTATGAATGTATTCCCAAATGACAAGATAAATACGTTAATTGATTATCTAACATTTTATGGCAATTGTTTCAAACAATTTGCCCAAAAAATGAACAACAGAAAATTGTAAATCACTCTACCATGACAATGCTAGGCTGCATATAGATATTACAATTATTACTTATCTAGGGAAATACATAATTACTATCCTTGCAATCTACTGCAGACTGGAAACATGAGACATACAACTTACAGATCTCATATGCAATGCCATATGTATAACTTTAAGATCATTACAAATTTCTCACTGCACAGTAACTTTTCAGACACCCTGTGCTTTACCCTATCTAGAATTCATTTCAAAAATACGCAGACAAGTAATAGAATACAGCATGCTTTTGTACAAAAGTGTAATTTATTTATAGTGAAACAGTAAATTTTTTTGTGTGTAGAGTTTAGAGGTCTATATTTATCACAATGAAAACAAACTGCTGCTCAGGACCTCACACTATAAAGTTACAGCTTATGGTCATACTTATAGATTCATTGTTATATAGTAATGGGTGGAAAACCTCTTATCGAGCTGCAATTTGAAAAAATTGTAGACCTATAAATTCCCACTGTCATTTGTCTGTCTGTCCATCTTTCCTTAATCCCAAAATCTGAGTTAGATGAAAGACGAGATCAGATATGAAAACCTTCGGGCAGGTATGGGCAACCTTTTTCTACGTAAGGGCTACATTTGAAACTTTCAAACTGACACTGGCCACACATAAAGAAAAATGTGCGGGTTAATCACAAATATTTATCATCACCAGTAGACAATATGATGCATGAACAAATTATATTCCAGTATAACTTTTTTAAAATAAATGTTGTATAGTTAATGTCTATTTTTAAGTTTGATTTATTAAAATAATTAATAAAACTCATCTAATGCCTTATTTAAAAACCAAATGATAAATTTTTACAACTTTCAGATATTTACTTACCTACAATATTTACAAAATCATACCACAAAGACTGTTAAATGTGGCAAAATTAAACAAATTAGACAAAATTAATTTTTAAGCTTTCAAAAGTACATAAGAAAATAATAATCTAAACTTTAATACCTTACCATTATGTCTTTCAAAATTCTCAGATGAATTAGGAGACACGTTAATACAAATATTATCCTTTGAGCTGCTCGGATATTTGAAAAGATCTTCACTACTATCACTGTCCACATCTTTCGTCAAAGATGCCGATAAATTCTTTGCCTTTGCGTTTGCACTTTTCAAGTAAAATCTTTCTTTCAAATTAAAAACTGTACTTTTGTTTGGGGAATTTGGAAAAAAATTAACGACTGCTATGTCATCTCTTTTGGGCGTTTCAACAGTTTCATCATTGTCGCTGTAAGTAATGGAAACAAATTCATTGTGCCAACTTTTTCTCTGTTTACATTCACCATTAACACTGTCTTTATCGTCAAAAATGATTACTTCTGGCACAACAGAACTAGTGGGCTTGAATTCGGACACGACTTTGATGTCGTCAGAACTGCTGGATGTATCCGACGATATCGTTATAGGATTTTTAATGTCTCCTTGCACTATATTATTACAAGTTTTGGATTCTGCGGCCGAAAAATTGCTAGCCAAATTGAGTTTTGAATCAGTAAAAGCATTCATCTGGATAACTTCGTAGGATTCATTTTGTGCAAAATGAATTTGGCTATAGAGAGCAATTTCTACATCACTGTCTATCCTGTCTTCATCACTCTGTTCCCTGTCAGATTCTTCTAAAGCATAATCTTCATTAAAAATATCATCATCAAATACATATGCCATCACCAAACTAAAATGAAAAAGTCATATTATACTTTTAAAGATAGAACAATTGTTATTACTAGCCTAATTAAATTGTTATATCTTCTGAATTACATTTGCACTTAAGTTTGTTTAAGACATTCAGTTTATTAAGTATTTCTTAAATTAAAATTCTACTAATGGATTTTCTGTTTTGCAAGTGTTTTTAATATCAATTAGGCTATATATCAAACAAATTAAATAATGATAAAAATTTAAGCAATCACAGTTAGCTAAAATAAATCTGATCTCAAATTTTTGATTGTGTATCAAGCAAAAAATCAAAACACTACTTTACTAAAACTTAAATAACTAAAATAAATAANAGGGCATAAGACGAAGAGACTAGATTTTAAACAAAGGAACTGGTTTCTATTGTTTACAGGCAGGACAGAAATTGCCTAATGGAGAGGAAATACTATATTAAGTTATTAAGATGGATTATTATTTAAATGAATTATATTTGTGTTTTATATATGAATAAATAGATTATTTTGGACTTTTACATTTATTTTATCATCATTATCATTATTTTCATTTTTGTTTTAATATTATCATTATTAAATTTTTTTTTTACCCATATATACACACAAACATACCCGTCATATATATACATGAGAAAACATATATTCAGAGAAATTCCCTGTAGAAAAGTGATACAGCCTAGCCAGGAACAGTGACAGTTTGCGCAACTAGCAGAAAGGGTTTTATTGAGGACCGTAATGGCTTGCACACTGAATAAAGCAATCTTTTAGTAAGTTAAAACAGTCAATGTCCTCTACTACAGCATGGAGAGGAACCGGCCAAGCCTGCAACCGGTTGCAATGGAAGGTGATCAATTTTCTTCGACAGATATCAAAACGGCTACAGTCATATATGATATGTTCAATTGTGTCCGGAACCTGGCAACCACAATTACAATTTGGGTTATTTATGATTTTGAATCTATGTAGATAGCTATTTAGTTTACCATACTGTGTTAATAAAGTTGTAGTGAAATGGTCATGATGTTCTGAATTAATTTTAATCCTGTGACTAACAGTTGGGAAGAAGCTATGCATTAGAGCACCATTTGTGTCTGTTTGCCATCTACAGTCCCATTGCTGAATTGATCTCTGTCGAAGAATGCGCTTAGCGTGCCCTAAAGGAAAGATTGAATAATCTATATTACTATTTAAGTATGCACTAGTAGCCAGGAGGTCAGCTAAGTCTTTTCCCAGACAGGCAGAGTGCGCCTTAACCCAACAGGCCTTAGTGTTGTGCAAGGCAACACATTTTTTGAATAAGTTGTATGTTTCTAAACTTAGTTTGGTGGCTATTTTAGGTCTTTTTAAACATGCCAAAGCAGTCTGCGAATCAATGCAGAGTAGCACATGGTTCAGTTTAGTTTCGATTATGTAATTTAGAGCATGCCAGACAGCTAAAATTTCAGCCTGAAAAATGGAACAATCCTGATGTAGCTTAAAGTCTATACAATGCAAAACTTGCATGCCTGACAGGAAAGCCATAGCTGCCCCCATGCCGCGGTCAGACCTCGAACCATCAGTGAATATCTTAAGTGGATGGTGCTCATCATAATCTATCAATGCGCCTTCATGTGAATATGCAGGGTGAGGAAGCTGCTCCACGCTAGTTTGGATAGCATACTGAACACAGTTATTATTTAGGTTCAAAGTACCTCCCTTCTTAATATTACAGTAATCATATTGCTCTCTAAGCAGTAGATCCAATGGTAATTTGTTAGCTATAAGTAATGCTGTTTCTCTTGAAATAGTCCTGTACCCCTTTATTATTTTAATACAGATTCGTCTTTGAAATTTTAATAGCATATCCCTATTCTTTTGGTACTTGAGAGCATCACCCCAGACCCCTACAGCATATCCCAGATATGGTAGCACAGCTCCTTCGTAAATAACATCTAAAGTCTTAGAATTAAGTCCCCATCGTAGGGTCGCTATTCTATTTAACATGTGAAGCAATTTCTCTGCCTTTCCCAACTGCACACGGATGTGAGGTGAACAGCTAAGTTTGTCATGTAATGTAACTCCTAGATATTTAATTGAATTTACATATTCCAAATCTTTACCATTTAAAGTCAAAGGTGGTTTATTAATTTTTCGTTTTCTTGTTACGAATAGCAATTTAGTCTTGTCAGTATTAAATTTTAATTTTGTTTCATTAGCCCAATTTTGTAGACTGGATAGTATGGAACTAGCTTTCTTTTTAAGAGAATATATATTCTTGTCAGTCACCGTCACAAGCAGGTCGTCGGCAAAGGCAAAAAGTTCACTTTCGGTGGGAAGCCTGATCCTAAAAACAGTGTTCATTAGAATATTCCACAGAGACGGGCCAGAAGCAGAACCCTGAGGAACACCCAGTGATACATCCTTAGTGGATACTGCTGTATTGTACCCTAAAGACACCTTCCTGTCTTGAAAGTAACTTGCCACAAGGTTATACAGGTTCTTTGGTACTTCGGCAGTCCGAAGCTCGCGTAGGATTAAGGCGGGCCAGGCAGTGTCAAATGCCGAGGAAATGTCCAGTGAAATTACTATGCATATTTTTTTATTACTTAAGGCATGTTGCATTATATCTCTAACTTTAATCAGGGGGTCAACAGTAATCTTCTGTGGAGTGAAGCCAAATTGATATCTATTTAGGAATTTTTTCTGATTTAAATGGTAATTTATTCTATTTATTATTAATTTTTCTGAAATTTTTCCCTAATACTGAGAGCAAACTAATTGGCCTAAAGGATTTAGGATTGTCAAGAGTTTTGCCTGGTTTTGGAATGAGTTTCACCACTGCATGTTTCCAGGCAGTGGGGAAAACACCAACAGATAAACACAAATTATAAATATTAACTAGAGAGTCAGGTGAGGTGCTAAAGACATTTTTTATAATCTCTGCATTCAACCCATCCTGACCAGGTGCCCTCTTATTCTTTCGAGCCAAAATGATTTCTTTAATTTCCGAACAAACAAAGGGCAGATCATCATCCATGTGGTATGGTTGCTGAATACAGTTTCTTATTTCTCTGTGAGAATCACTATCATTTTCAGTATTATCAGTATGAAAGAAATGATTTAAGAACATATTGGCTATTTCTCTGTCATCATACAGAGTCTTGCCTTGTACATTTTTGATTGCTAATTTGGAAGAACTAGTAATAAAGCTTTTCTTTAATAATTTATAAATGCGACCCCATGGATTAACATTGCCCTCGTCTGTACAAAACCTCTTCCAGGATTCAGTTTTTGAGAATTTAATTAAAGTTTGGTAGCATCGCCTGTCTTCTAGATATTGTTGTTTAAAATTTGTACGTTCTGGGCCACTAGATCGCTGAAGTCTTCGTCTTAACCTATTGACATTTGCTCTGGAGACCGTCAATCCATGACTCCACCAGGGAACAGAGTGTCTATACCATTTTTTGAGTGGAATACTTTTGTCTGCAGCTTTTTGAATAATCTCTATGAATTTTTGAATAATGTATTCCACTGGATGATTTTGTTGAATTAAATTGTTAATCTCTGGGATATCTTCAGAGAATGTTTTGCTAAATCTGCTCCAGTCAGCTTTTTGGACATTATAGTTTCTACCAAATGACTCGCTAGTTTCTGAAGTCCTAGCTGTAAATAATTCAATGTCAAATAAGATATATCTATGGCCTGAAAGTGATTCTGCTAGCAAGACTCTCCAATTTTTAATATTAATTCTACCTTTAGTTAAAGTCAAATCAATATAACTCTCTCCCTGATGGGAAGAGAATGTAGGTGGTCCGCCTAAATTTTGTATATTTAAATCTAAATGATATATAAGTTCTAAAATTCTCACTCCTCTCGGATTTTGAAGCCTGTCAAACCAGACAGGCGACCTACCATTTGCATCAGTGCCTATCACGTAAGGAAATTTAAAAGCAGAGAAAAGTCTATGAATGACCACAATCTGTTCATCAATATCACCAGATGGTTTTAAATAAGTAGAGTTTACTATAAATTTAGAATTTTTTGTACGGATTAATACTGTGCTAGAACACTCACTTGACAGCTCCTCGATGAAATAGGACGAGATGCTTTTATTAAATACCAACACTGCAGAGGCAATATCTAGGCTATAACAATCGATCCACCCCGGAATTCCCAGTATCCGAGACGTAGCGTATGGTTCTTGAATCAATGCTATATCTATCTTGTGGTCTGAAGCAAACTTAATTAAGTGATCTGTAGCGGTAGAGCAGCGGTCGAGGTTAATCTGCAATATTTTTAGATCCATTATTGCTTAGTGCTATTGGTACTTAGTTTAATGTAGTAGTTTAACACAGGGCAGTGATGGCTACGGGCCCCATGCCTGGGATCCACTTGGTCCGCGTCCCGTCTGCACCCCTTATTATAACGCAGACAGTTGATACACAACATGTCATGAGGTTCAACGTTGCATTCTCTTGAGCAATGATTTGCTTCTGCACAGTCGGCACAGCGAACTTCACTGCGGCATGTTTTAGTAGTATGTCTGTAATCCCAACACTTGCCACATCTTTTGTAGTAGTGAAAAGTATATATTTTCCTCTTCCTCCAACCCATGTAAAGAGTGTCACCTGCCTCCAAAAATATCCTTCTGAGCTCGGGAGACGACAAACACCCACGACCGTTCTCCCCTCTCTTCCCTGCCCAGGAAGAAGACATGCTTAATATGGTTCTCAGTGAGCATGTGAGCATTTTGTTTTATAATGTATTCTTTCATTTTCTCTTCGCTGATCTCCCAAGGAACCCTTGGGATAATTATCCTTGGGTTTCTTAAACTGGGAGCCCTTGCTTTTACGTCTCCACTGCATTTTAGGGTGTTTAACAACTTAACTGCTCCTTCTTTATTGTTGCAGTTTATAGCAAATCCTTTTAATTTTGCGGACACCAGCTACACCAATGCCCAAGTTGGTAATGTCCACCTCCTTCTCAATCTTTCCAATTATCTCCTCACTGTCAGCATTTTCATCTGGATAAACCAATAAAACTTTATCGTTAGCAAGTCGAGAGGGCCTCTTCACTACGTCCGCATAACTACTTTTATTTCTTGTGGGACTTAAAGTCCCAGAATCCTGGTTATTTCTATCAGGTTGCTGGAGGGAGTCAATGTGGTGATTTTGCTGCTGGATGACTTGATTAAAATTTTTCTCGAGCTCCTGGATCAGAAAGCTTACTCCAGCCAGGCTTTGAATGGCTTTGTCTTTAAGTTCTGTCCGCATGTTGCGGGCGGCCTCTATACACTCTTTGACGGTGAATAGTTTCTCTTTTATTCCTTCTTCTAGCTCCATGATGATGTCTTGAGACTTATCCATTCTAACTCTTTAGGTATTAATTTATTGTATTGACTTTAATTTTATTTATATACTATTCCTATTATACTATTATTTATATACTATTCCTACTGTATTATTTTAAAACTTTACCTAACCCAGGCACCAGAATGAATAAAAACAGTTCCTCACAAAAACAGCAACACGTCTTAACAGAACACTCCTGAACTGGAATCTGACATTATGACTGTTCTTGTTGACCAGTTTGGACAAGGGGATTATGAATGTATTCCCAAATGACAAGATAAATACATTAATTGATTATCTAACATTTTATGGCAATTGTTTCAAACAATTTTCCCAAAAAATGAACAACAGAAAATTGTAAATCACTCTACCATGACAATGCTAGGCTGCATATAGATATTACAATTATTACTTATCTAGGGAAATACATAATTGCTATCCTTGCAATCTACTGCAGACTGGAAACATGAGACATACAACTTACGGATCTCATATGCAATGCCATATGTATAACTTTAAGATCATTACAAATTTCTCACTGCACAGTAACTTTTCAGACACCCTGTGCTTTACCCTATCTAGAATTCATTTCAAAAATATGCAGACAAGTAATAGAATACAGCATGCTTTTGTACAAAAGTGTAATTTATTTATAGTGAAACAGTAAATTTTTTTGTGTGTAGAGTTTAGAGGTCTATATTTATCACAATGAAAACAAACTGCTGCTCAGGACCTCACACTATAAAGTTACAGCTTATGGTCATACTTATAGATTCATTGTTATATAGTAATGGGTGGAAAACCTCTTATCGAGCTGCAATTTGAAAAAATTGTAGACCTATAAATTCCCACTGTCATTTGTCTGTCTGTCCATCTTTCCTTAATCCCAAAATCTGAGTTAGATGAAAGACGAGATCAGATATGAAAACCTTCGGGCAGGTATGGGCAACCTTTTTCTACGTAAGGGCTACATTTGAAACTTTCAAACTGACACTGGCCACACATAAAGAAAAATGTGCGGGTTAATCACAAATATTTATCATCACCAGTAGACAATATGATGCATGAACAAATTATATTCCAGTATAACTTTTTTAAAATAAATGTTGTATAGTTAATGTCTATTTTTAAGTTTGATTTATTAAAATAATTAATAAAACTCATCTAATGCCTTATTTAAAAACCAAATGATAAATTTTTACAACTTTCAGATATTTACTTACCTACAATATTTACAAAATCATACCACAAAGACTGTTAAATGTGGCAAAATTAAACAAATTAGACAAAATTAATTTTTAAGCTTTCAAAAGTACATAAGAAAATAATAATCTAAACTTTAATACCTTACCATTATGTCTTTCAAAATTCTCAGATGAATTAGGAGACACGTTAATACAAATATTATCCTTTGAGCTGCTCGGATATTTGAAAAGATCTTCACTACTATCACTGTCCACATCTTTCGTCAAAGATGCCGATAAATTCTTTGCCTTTGCGTTTGCACTTTTCAAGTAAAATCTTTCTTTCAAATTAAAAACTGTACTTTTGTTTGGGGAATTTGGAAAAAAATTAACGACTGCTATGTCATCTCTTTTGGGCGTTTCAACAGTTTCATCATTGTCGCTGTAAGTAATGGAAACAAATTCATTGTGCCAACTTTTTCTCTGTTTACATTCACCATTAACACTGTCTTTATCGTCAAAAATGATTACTTCTGGCACAACAGAACTAGTGGGCTTGAATTCGGACACGACTTTGATGTCGTCAGAACTGCTGGATGTATCCGACGATATCGTTATAGGATTTTTAATGTCTCCTTGCACTATATTATTACAAGTTTTGGATTCTGCGGCCGAAAAATTGCTAGCCAAATTGAGTTTTGAATCAGTAAAAGCATTCATCTGGATAACTTCGTAGGATTCATTTTGTGCAAAATGAATTTGGCTATAGAGAGCAATTTCTACATCACTGTCTATCCTGTCTTCATCACTCTGTTCCCTGTCAGATTCTTCTAAAGCATAATCTTCATTAAAAATATCATCATCAAATACATATGCCATCACCAAACTAAAATGAAAAAGTCATATTATACTTTTAAAGATAGAACAATTGTTATTACTAGCCTAATTAAATTGTTATATCTTCTGAATTACATTTGCACTTAAGTTTGTTTAAGACATTCAGTTTATTAAGTATTTCTTAAATTAAAATTCTACTAATGGATTTTCTGTTTTGCAAGTGTTTTTAATATCAATTAGGCTATATATCAAACAAATTAAATAATGATAAAAATTTAAGCAATCACAGTTAGCTAAAATAAATCTGATCTCAAATTTTTGATTGTGTATCAAGCAAAAAATCAAAACACTACTTTACTAAAACTTAAATAACTAAAATAAATAAATAAATAAAAATTTTATATTAACGCTTTCAAGTAAGAAACCAAACTTCAGATATTTTACAAATGCAAACAAAGAAAAAAGAATAGCGAACATATGGAATCTATCCCTGCGTTTCTTTATGCAGCGAGAGTGTAGCAAAATGACGCTACAAGCAGTGTTGGCCAATTAGAAACCAGTTTCAGTGTGTTCACTGTAAAGCGCTGCATAAAGAAATGCAGGGTATGTGACAATTTGAAAGAGGAGTGGTATAAACTCTTCCCAAAAATCCGCAGCATTACTATCTAACATGATTTTTGTAATGTCACAACCTTCACCTTTCATTTCTGTTTGCTGCTTCCTGTATTAACAAGTATTAAGCTCTTTTCATGAGGTTGTTTCTATGTTCTTCCTATCTTTTCTGCATGGATCTTTGTGTGATTCCAATGTATTCACAGTTCATCCCATTTGATTAAATAAAGGGATCTTATATACAGTCCGCTGTTATCATTCCTCCATATATTAGTTTTACTTGTTTCTGATTAACTAAAAACATGCTGCAATCCTTCTAATCGTCAGGGAGTTAAGTTTCTCTGCTACTATATTGAGGTGTTTTACTATGTTTTACTCAAATATAAGATGTTTTAGCAATTCTGAAAATAGGGTATTTTAGATTCAATGTAATATGATGTAATTAGCAACTTCTAGTGCCACGCGTCTTATTTGTCTATCAGTAATTCTACGATGTTACTTTAACATTTGTATTAGACCAATATTCATAACATTAAATATTTAAGAAGTCAATTTAACTCAATCGCATTAATCTATTATAACAATATCATAAGTAGTTAGATGAAAATCTCAGAAAATTTCAATCCATTAACTGTTTGATGCTGAAGATGGCTGTCCAGTTGGCTGAAAATGTTTGAAAAATAAAAATATTCAGAGTATGTAGAAGAACAAAACATTTTTTTCCATAGACCTTGATAATGTATTTATCAGGACTTTTCATAATCTTTAAAACTATGAAGTGCATTTCACATTAGTTATCTTGATCTAGTATCAAAGCATTATCTATACTAATATTATAAAGAGGTAATGTTTGTATGTATGTATGTTAGTTTGTATGCAGCAGGTAATCTCTGAAACTACTCATCCAATTTCAAAAATTCTTTCACCAATATTTAGAATGGAACTTTAGGGTGGACATAGGCTATATATTATTCCGTTAAACATGGGGGATGGACAGTTCTTTACGGTTAGCCTTACGGAAAAGGTTACCGTAAAGAACTATGCTTCTATTTATACCATTTTAGATGCAGTTTTTTCCGTTTTTGATTGCATTTTAATAGAGTACATCAACAGAATGTACACTAAGAAGGGATTTTTCGATATTCCCCCCACGGGGGAAAGAGACAGGATTAAGGCTTACTCTGAAAAACTTGGCTTCTATTATACTATTTTAGATGCAGGTTTTTGTGTTTTTGATTGCGTTTTAATAGGGTACATCAGCAGAATGTACACTAAGAAAAAATTTTTCGAAAAATTTTCCCCCACTGGGGAAGTGTTATACATTTATAATAGATACATTTTGAGCCACAACAAGGTGTGGCGGGGTCTGCTAGTTTAATATATTAGGACTGTGGATAGTAGAACATCTTTCCATACAACTAACATGTCTTCTACAGCAGTGATCACTAACATTTCTGATTTCACAGACCACTAAACTCAATTTTGAATTCTGTGATGAAATTAAAATGATACAAATATCTTTAGAATAATTTTACTTTATTAATATGAAATTCACTTGTTTAATTATAACAAATTAGTGTGAAGTTTATTGCTCCTTGTTTGAAATAAGTTTATAGATTCTTGGCTCTTTTCCATGAAGGATGACAATTGCACTCACATTATTTATTGTTATTATTTATTGATAACAGTCATTTTGTGTTTGTTTAGGATTTGAATAAAAACAACTCCCAATATGTGAGAAAAAGCAACCAAGCATTTTGCATTTCTTTAATACTTTGCATAACCTTGATCAATGTCCAAATTTCTCTGGAAACCACCAAAATTTTCAGACCACTGATGGTCTGTCAGAAAATTTGGTGGAAAACCCACTGCCGACCACTGTTCTACAGTACTGGCCATGGAAACTGCATCACCTATAATATCCTGTAAAAATGTGTTTATGTTTTGAAGTATTGTTTTACTGCATACCTGCAAAAAATCATAAAAATTGATCATCTGTGACATCATAAACATGAAAATGCTTTTCAATGGCTGACAGTCTGCTTTAGCAATGCTTCCAATAATTGTACCTTCCACTGGTATACACATACATTTTCACAGTTAACACTGTAAAAAAATCCATAATTGTTGTTTTGAATGCTGAAGGTTTACTCTGTCATGAAATAGCATAGAATGCACATTGTCTTCAATCAACTATTGTGTGTTTGTTTGTAAAGATGATGTCAACATGGCAACATTTTGTGGATGTGTAGTATTTACTTGTAATATGTAAATGCAATAAAATATTACTATGACTGTTTGACAATATCATCAGAGATTTTGGGTAGTATTTTATTATAAAAACAGTTAAAATGTAACGACTTGTTGTATCATGCACATACAATCATTGCTACTTCATTTGCACAGTCTTCATATTTGTTTTAACAACAGAGGGTGAAAAATAAACTTCGTTAACATCTTTGAAAATATTTCTTTCCTGTGTTATTTGAGATGCAAAGCATGCATATTTTATCATGTCGCAAAAGCTGGTGTGCTCAACTGGTTGTGAATTAGAAATTATATTTTAAAAGCATTTATATTATTGATTTTAAGAAGATAACTATAGTTCTGTAGTTTTTTGATAAAATTTTTAATCTGTCTATTAAAAATAAACATTGCAAAGCTGATAAAAATAACTATATATTTCAGTGGGATAGAAAAACTGTATATAAGAAATTTAATAATGATAAGGTTAAATTATAAATGTAATATAAAAACTTTACATAAGGGGATTGAACTCAAAGACACTGCAGGTGATGCCTTAAATAACCACATCTTACTGCTACTTTGTGAATCAGCCTTCCATATTGGTATTAATAGTTGTAGAAAACTTTTATCCTAAATTTCTCAAGAATGCCTGAATAGTGGGTCATGCGGCTTTGGTAGAGTACATGTAAATACTATTCATCCACCAAATTTCACCAAAATCAATAACGACAATCTGCCAAAAGTTTCCTTTGTTAGAGGTTAATTTGAGGGTACAAATGCACCTCCAAATGATGTGGTTGGGACCTTATCAAAGAAGCCTGTGACCACAGGAGTAAAATGTCATCTAGAGATAGGGTTGCCAACTATCCTGCATCATGTAGGACCGTCACACATTTTTGAATGAAATCCTGCAACACGCAAAGACACACAAAAATCCCACAAAATATCTTAAAGCATAGATCGTGATAGATTGACAAAGTTAGCTTACATCAATCATTGTCACATAACACTACTTATATAGAAAATCAGACTTTCTTTCAAGAAACTTTCAGCACTGACAGATGTTTTTAGCTTTCCAGCAAAAAAAAAAAAGTAGCCAACTCTGAAAACATTCTTCTTTGATAAATAACCCGAGATTTGATGATAAAATCAAAAAGATAGTTTTCATGAATAGGTAAGAATGTAAAAATTCAAGGTAAAAGCCTTGAATTTACAATATAACATTAATACATATGATCTATACAACAAGATAGCTATAGTTAAAGAAAAAGTAACAAGTGTAATGATGGAAAATTTAAGTGTTCCTGAAAAATGGGTAAAAACTTTAAATTGTAGTAAACCCATTGCCAAACTTACTCAAATTATTGACATTTTGCCAGAGTATTCCAGCTACTAATGCTTTTGTAGAATGTTTTTTTCTCTTTTGAATCAATGTTTTGGACAAGAAACTGAAATAGACATGTGAAATTAATAAATTGGCAGCATTTATACTTCTTCTAACCGACGCTCCACAGTGTACCCGAAAAAGGCCTATTAAGAAGGCCGAAAACATTTGTACTCTGGTTAATAAGGCTAGAAATTAGTGAGAAAGGTTTTGTGCTGATAATTCTAATAAATAGGGAATTGGTAATTAAGTTAAATTCAAAGGAATCCCATCGATAGATGTACAAAACAGTGCTAGAAGATAAAAAGCTTTTTACTGAAGCACGATCTTAAAGTAAATACGATACCTCAGTTTTCGTCGATAATCTGTCCGAAAACAACTGACAAAATCCAANTGGGTAAAATTATAAATTAGTAATTACAGTGATACCTCAGTTTTCGTTGATAATCCATCCATAAACAACCAGCAAAATCCAAAACGAATGAAAACTGAAGCAATTATTTCCATACAAATCAATTTAAATCCAATTAATTTGTTCTAAACACTCCAAAATACATACCAAAAACACTTTTTATAGAGAATGAATGTAGTGTTTAATACTAAAAACAATAAGAAATTAATATAAAATGAATCCATAAACAACCAGCAAAATCCAAAACGAATGAAAACTGAAGCAATTATTTCCATACAAATCAATGTAAATACAATTAATTTGTTCTAAACACTCCAAAATACATACCAAAACACATTTTATAGAGAATAAATATAGTATTTAATACTGAAAACAATAAGAAATTAATATAAACTGAATATAAAAGACTAATACAATGGCCTCCAAAACAGAATTGCCATCTAACTGTTCTTGATTAATCCAAATTAATAATAACTGTTCGACATCTTCAATTACTTGCGATCACGCCTTTCACTACTTTAGCCTCCTTTACTGCTTTCTTTTTTGCCACAATGGAACTTTTATCACAAATGGTTACTTCCCATACCCGCGGCTGATTTCAGCAATCTTAATGCCGTACTTGTATTTTTCAACAGTTTCCTTCAACTCGAGCATGTTCCTGGCCTTCTTCTTCAAAGGACTGCTGGCTAGAAACTTTCTTTGGTTTCATGATGGAAGGAAAGCAATGCTTTTGGTTAGATGCGCGGGATAATGCTCACACAACGAGAAACAACGCCACACTGAGCAGGCAAATGTGTGGGTCGCCTTTTCTTTTCGCAAAATTAGCAGCGAAATCACTTAGGCACGCCGACAAAATCCAAGACAAATTTTTTGTGGAAAAAATTGATGAAAACCAAAACTGACGATAACCGAAGTCAACGAAAACCAAGGTATTACTTTAGACATTTAAGAAATAAATTGTTTCATATGAAAGTCCCCTAATTTTTATAAAAATGTCTCCCAAAGAGATTTTATCCAGTTGGCAACCCTATCTAGAGGAGTCTAAGATGGGGGGAGTCATTTAATTTACTCAACATGCTTTAATACAGACACAGTCAGACAGTCAGACAGACACACAGACAGACAGACACACAGACACACATACATACATACATATATATATATATATATCATATAATCAAAAATTTAAGAAAAAATTTCTTTCGTAAGTATAATAACATTAAAAATTCACGTGAAATTATAATTAAATGTGTCAAATTTTATAAAAATTATTTAAATATAAGTTTAAATGTTACGGTAGAAACACGTGGAACATCACCACGCACTAAAAATTTATATAATTAAACCATTTCGAGCTTAATATTATAAAAAATTACCTGAATATTACTTAAAATATAAATATTATTATTTTATAATTCATGTATTTTACGCTTATAATTTAAAATTTGTTAAGTTTATACTACAGTTTATACAATAATAACAAACATGGACGATCGCCATGACAGTTGACGTAATTGCCAAATTTTTTTAAAATTGCATGGAAAACTTTTGTAAATTATTAAATATATTTTCATTTTCATTTAACTTTATTAAAGTATTTTAGTAATAATTTAATATATATTTTAATATTTATCGCGAATTATTTTAATTAGCCCAAATTTCGCACTATAGATGTAATTTAGCTAGCCGACAAAATCTTATTACTTTTCATTAATTTAAATAAAACTTATTTAAATTAATGCCGGAAAAATTGTTTTTTTTTCTTTTGTTAATTCCTATGCGCTGAACAAAAAAATGAAGTTAAAATTTCCCTGGCAAGTAGGTTTTGCGTTGTTATTTTACGTAATTTAAAAATACTCGATGCAGAGACAATGTTAAAGGAGTTGTAGCGCAGTTTCTGGGCAACAAAAAACAGAAAACTACGAAAAACTTGTAGGAGAATTACTTGAAAACTACAGTAAAATGGGTTTAGAATGTCCCTTAAACTAAATTTTTTAAATTTGCATGTGGCTTGTCGGGCTCTGTCTCTCATTTCCCCTGCCGTCCCATTCTAGACTGACCCCACGACGGGCCTGTAGAAAACTCCTCTTTGTTGCTACAGGGTATAAACATTCAATATTAATTAATTTATTACGTAAATAACAATTTCATTTCCAATAAAAGTCCAGAAAAAAAGTATCTCTCAGTAAAACTCTGCCCACAAAACCATTGAATACTGGTAGTTGGTCATGTGTTCGCGCCTGTTCAACAGACTGATACGTGAAGTTTTCCTGATTTCCTTCACGTGTCTAACACCTAAATAGGGACCAGTAGAAAATCCTCCCAGGTGGGACCTAGGCGGATCGTCCACGTGTTGTGTGTCGTATTCCATTAAATTAAACCAAACCAAATCAAATGAAATTGCTTCCCTACTGCTCTACAGACTGCTACTGTCATGATCATATGCAGTAACGCAGAATTTTTACAAAACTCTAATTATTCTGCGATCTTGAACACGTTATTCAACTCCCTCTCTGCAGGAATTCTAAATAGTTCAATCAGAATACTTTCTCTGTAGGTGCAATTCACCGTTGATTAGTATGACGTCAAGACCAATTAAACACTTGCGTATTTAAGAAACGATTTGTTAAGAGAAAATGAATAATGACGTAGATTACGAAAACAGTAAAACATGTTAAGCCTTTGGGTTTGTTGTGGGTGTATTGAGTTCATCATGGACTAATGAAATTAAGAAATGCAACCTGGTCTTCATTGTAAGACAGTCGCCCATTCCAGTTAACTAAATATAACAGTCAAAAATGCGGTCACAATAGACAATCATTTTATATCTTTCGCCATCTTGAACATAGTCTCTGATTCGCTAACTCGGGACATTCTTCAAACACGAAGTACTCAGAACAATTGTCTCTAACATTTTGCATTACTGAATCTAGCTCAGATCAGCAAGTTGGTACTTTTACTGCCTTGACTATCCGGCTGATTATAT